TGTTGTCGGGTTGTTTTTTATTTTATTTTTTTTAAACCTGTCACTATTTGTCACAGTTTGAAAAAAAAAAAAAAAAAAAAAAAAAAGTGCACATGTAATAGTATATTATTGTGAACATGAAGAAGGGCTGTGTGAAAGGACCGGCTAGCTTTTGAAGATCGCATCTTAAAACTCAAGCTGATTGGATTTTAGTTTCTACTGTCTCACTCCTCACGCACGACACACAATCACGTAGAAATGCAGCACGTAGACACAAAAACAAACGCTCCTGTCAGACGGCGTTGAGTCTACATTCTGTGTTTCTGTCTGCCAGTGTTTCACTGGCTTGAATCTCATAAAAATAATAAAATAAAATAAATAAAGGGAAAGTGAGCGCTGCAGTAGTTACTCTGGGAAACCTTTTGTTGCCATGGACTGCACTTCCCATTAACCTCCACTAAGAATTTGTTTTGTGATGCTTTTCTTCACGCCTGGCAACTGTTCTTTATTTGAGCTGTTTTTATTTATTGTGTTTTCGTTCGACCCATTTATCAAAAAAATTTGGGTAGTAAGAAGAAAAAAAAAGAACGAATTTTTTAATGAATGTCAATGGTGGGTGTGGAAGGAGCCCGTGATCGGTGATAAATCTCTGTCCTGTGGTGCTGTTGTGGCCACTGAGAGACATCTGGATGTATGCGTGACTCCCCCCCTCCCCCGCGCTCTTCTTCTCGCGACCCGTACTGTACGTCTTCTTCCTCATACTGGGTTGTACTTCAGGAAAAAAAAAATGTCCGCCATCAACCCCTCAAATATGTGCCTCAATGACATTTCACCCCGCGTGCTAGCGCGTGCGTGTGTGTTTCCTGCACGTTTGTGTCGGACGGATAGAGATTACGAAGATGATCGGTGAAGAGCTGCAACAAAAAAAGGAGTTTTTCGGGGGATAAATCTTTCAAAGAGACAAATCATGATGGGCGACTAGATTCTCCTTCCCACCGTGTGTCGATGACCTTTCGTGCCCTGATTCTGTGGTCTTAACTGCATGCCTGTGCTCATTTTGTCATACCAAAGCGAAACGTCTTCGGCATCTGCACACAACCGTCTCATTCCACACGATGCAAAACTGGAACTGTTTGCTCTCTTGCAGATGAATATGGGTATTCTTAGACGTGTACAAATTGCAATCCTCGTTTAGCCTGTATAGCTTGATTCACACGTGCAAATCATGAAGCCATAGATATGGGTATATCTATATTATACTATAGTTCAAAATTTGGCGCTTTTTACTTTAGATTTTGTTCTTCTAAGAGTGATGTGTGTATACCTTCATATATATGAATTTATATTACTATTATATATTATTTATTTTCTCTCAAGTTTCAGAGGGTCTTTGATTTGTAAAAGGTCACACTTGAAGCTTGAGGTTTGTTTATTTTCATTGGGAATATTGTTCAATATGATACTGACTTTATATTGATTATCATAAACCTGTGTTTGTAACAAAAAAGTGTTAATCAAAAAAAAAAAAAAAAAAAAAAAAAAAAAAAAAAAAAAAAAAAAAAAAGAAATAATGAACTGTCCCGTTTTTACACCCGTTTTGTTTCCGGGCAGATTTAAGTGCTCTTGTGCAGATTTTTTATTTTTTATTTTTTTTGTTCGGTTGATAGTACTGATCACAAAACATTTTTACAGCCAACCATGAGCCTCCTGTTTTCGATGTTGGGGCTGGCCCAGCGGCCGTCCAAGCCTCTTTCTAACTTCATGTTTAGTGGAAGAATTAGCTTGACTTTTATTTGCAAAAACCAATCAGTCTCAATAAATTTTGAAATTGCTGCTGTAAAGAAGTGAAACACATGTGTGCTGTGTCTTTTGTTTTCTCTTCTTCCTTTGGACTGGTGTTTTAATGACTGCTGTCCACTAGGGGGCAGAGTGGACAAGTCAAAGAGAGACAGAGGATATAACCCTGACTTGAGTATGAACATCCTGCATTCACCGTTACGTCCCACAAAAGAATTAACCGACTCCGACAACAGACTTCTTAAATTCAGGTTTATTTTCTTTCCGTCACATTACATCACATAGATCACATCATCAGCATCACACATGGTCATCCATCTTTTCAAAGGCTTTTGACATTCACACAAATACTCCTCGAGTGCACCACTCCTCGGAAAGTGCTTCCTCAGTGCGTGTGTGTGTGTGTGTGTGTATAGGACTGCTGATGAAGACCTGAGGCCGAGCCCCCACACACACACACACACACACACACACACACACACGGGAGAAATCTTGCCCTCCAGTGAAGACCCGAGACCGACGTCACGTTTACCCACAAAAAGACAAAATGTGTGTGTTTGTCAGGCTGCAATGAGCTTTTTCTTTTCATATTTAGAGGAAAGACAAGCATCAGCCTTGGGTCATCAGTTACTGAAAGGGGAAATCGAACACAAAACCCTTCAGTGTTGCATCTCCTAACAGAAAACAAAAACAAAAAAAAAAATAAAAAAAAAAAAAAAAAGCGATGCTAGACATGCAAAACCTCAAATTCAACCAGACAGACAATCAATCAATGAGAAAACAAGCAGGAGTCTGTTTTCACACCAGCCAGTTTTAGGCTCAGTAAAAACAGGAGAAAAAAAAACAGCGGGTTAAAAGCCGGGGCGAACAGTAAAGAGCACAGTAGACGAAGCAGAGAACTGAGTGGAGCTGCCGTTTCAATGCATTACATTTGATTTGGAAGGAGATCTATTGGCTTTGCTGCTGCTGGTTTGCACACAAAATGACAAAACATTCAAGAAAGAAGAACACAAAATTAAAAAACGTGGAAATAAAGAGGCTTTTTTTTGTTTTTAATGCACATTTCAAGGGTTTAGTTTAGCTTAATATACTGGGTTAAAGGCTTGGATGGGACCCCAGTAAAGCTGGGTAGGACAGGTAACGAGGGGAAGAGGAGAAGGGAAGGATATGTTGGTTAGGAAACAAGTGGAAGATGCAAAAATTATTTAAAACAAGCGTGCTGTCGGTTGGAATGTGCAGCGCAGGACAAAGATTCCCACACGGTGGACATTCTCAAAGGTCGAAACGTTATCCTGCCTGACAACAACGTAACATCCACAGTCACCGCACGAGTTTCGGAGATTTTGGCGGGAGAGAGACAAAAGAAGAACAGTGCAAGCGTGCCGCCCAGACGTCACCATTATAAAAGCATCTCATTGCACAAAGTAAAAGGTAATAAAGCAATACTGCATGGTTGCGTTATTTGATATGAATTAGTGTGGCGACAGACGTGGGAGGGTTAAAAGATTTGGATAGAAAAATCAGGACGCGCTACAGGCAGTAAAAACTAGCCAGCAAAAAAAAAAAAAAAAAAAAAAAAAGTATTTTTGTAGGTTTTTACATTCAACAGGTTTTGTTTTTCTCCCCTTTGCCTCTAAGCTACGATATACATTGAATATTTTACGTGTTATGTTCACTATAGCTTCTCAATCGACTTTTTTAAAAATAAAAGAATATTCTGAGCCACTATACTGTAAAAAGAAAGCTTACTTTTCATACAAGATAACGAGAAAATATATGGAAAAACTAGCCTCGCAGTTCTCTTTGCTGCATATTTACAAGAAAGCCCTGAAACTGCCAATTCCACACGCACCGTCACTACGCGTCTCGTGAATCAACTTTCCCTGCAAATCCATTAACAGTTAATCTCCATCTCGCATTTCATGGGGTGAAATTGTATTTCTGCACAAATTCACCAAAATAAAAGTCCACCAGAGAATCTCTGTACCCACAGTTCTCTCTGGCCATGAGCCAAGCTCTTACCGACACCACTCGAGCCTTTGATCGTCAGTTTAGTGCAACTTCAAAGAGTTTCCGCCTCGCGGTTGTACGAATCCAACCAACCTTCAAAGTCTGTCCAGAATCATAAAACATACACAGCGACGCCTTTGAAATAATTTAAGAAAATCAGTCACGTGTGTCCGCGAGTTAGTGCGCATCTGTGTCCGTCCACGGTGACGCATCTCATTCTCATGCATTGTGTATTTTGGGAGACTAGTTATGGCTGCATGCTGAAGGACCTCTCGTGACTCACACTAAAACACAATTACTTTATACTCTTTGGGGCTAATGATAAACCACAGCTGAGTACATCGCTGACCCCCCAGCTGGGAAATATTTTGCGATGCGTTTGGCTAACCCATAAGAGCCAACAGAACACACTACCGAGTACATCTCCGTCTCTCCGTCACTGCTACGTGGGGAGATTGTATGAAATGTTTTATACGACCAGTTTGAGCCGATTGCCTGCTTACGTCACCTTTTGTTTTTGAGAATGAACAAAGCTGGTTTTACTACAGCTTGCAGCCCGTTAGTGTCTTGACAGAGATGTAAGGTAATTGTGGGTCGTATTCATTTAATCACACATTACAGGAGGGGTGGTTCAGACACACCTGGCGGAGATCTGCGCTCTGCTGAGTACCCCTTTTTAGTTCATATGAATTCGCAAGTAACGGCCAAAAATGTGTTTTGTGAGGTTCCTGAGAACAGGACGAACAGCGGCCGTCGAAAGGTGGAATAGTGCAACGGTCCTAAAGAAAGCATCGGCCTCTAACCTGCTGGTGGAATCTAAGAGCTTCAGATGGAGAGAGACCCGATGGGCTACACGACCAAAAGCGGAGATTCAAATTAAAAGTGGTATCCGGCACCAATAACAGATTCTACCTCAGCTCAGCAAAATGTAAATATGAAAGGAAGTACAAAGACAGGCTTCATGGATAAAAAGTGTATTTAGAGTTAAATAAACACCAGGCAATAAAGCATCCGTTATAGAGACATTAATGTGTAGCCACTGACAGAGACTGGTGTTTCCCCATCGCTGAGACAAGGTCCTTGGCACTCCTCCAAGGAAAGGCAGAGTGACTGAACACATAAGTACTGCACTGTACTTCCCAGTACCACACTTCTACAACAGTGTGTTCAGCACAATAAATCTGCCACAGAGAGCGAGACATTAACTTCCTTAGTAATGGGGGACCCCCAGAGGTACAGAACCCTCCAATCCCTGACACCCCATTTATTCCATCGGGCAGTGACGACACCCCTCACAAGAACAGTCCTTTCACTTCAAAATGTTTCTATATAAAATGTCCACGTATAAAACATGCCTTTGCGCAACGTAGTGCAATTTCATTAGGTGAGTATACCTTTTTTTTGTCCTTTGTTCTTTTCATTGGCACTTTGTGAAGTTTCTGAACAGAAGAAGCTCATCTGGGACGCGGCGGGAATAAAACTAATTGTTTAAAACTGTGTGAAATGAGACATCATTAAGTACTATTACGGCAAACACGTGTGCTCAATATGTCCCGACTTCAAGCCGCCAACTAACAGTCCCTCTGCAGATAAAGAAGTGACGATCGGTCGTCTTTAACGCGGTATCGGCCGACAGCAGGAGCCACCTTTCGAATAAAGGGCGTCACATGTCGTGAGGCAAATTTAGTTTTTGATATAAACAAATAAATTGAGTTGAAGCAGGTTATCTTGAAAAGATCAAATCTACCGAGTCAGAACAAGTTAACAGTCATTTTTAAGTCATTCATAAATTCACTACCGGTGTGTAGTTATGCATAATTATCACCATTACAGATGCTGCAGGAGTAGTTTTACGCTGCTGACCAAAGAACAACAAGTTGACTTCTTTCACTGTATTGGTAGAAACACACCTTTAATGCAGCAGAGTATCTTTAAAAAAAACAAGCTTCTCCATTTGATTTCCTCTCGTCGTTGTACATCTCGGATCATTTATAGAAACGCAACAGGTCATAAACTGGGCTTTAAAAATGGAAGTCTGACATTTTATCGATTGGTTAAAGGGAACTCAAAGAAAAATTACAATCTACAACTATCTAAAAATCTATCACCTATATTTTTTCTAAGGCAGCCGTGACAGTTATTTCTGTTCAGACCACTTCTAAAAAGGTTTTAAAACTTCTACTATTTGGAAAAGAAAGAATCAAGATCATTCTAAAGGATTAAACACATCTAACGAAAAAACAGCAAAAAAGTCTTGGTTCCTATGACGTCATCTACAAATACATTGGGTAACGTCTATTTTAAAACCAAGACATTAATTAAAATGCATGATACATCATCAGGATGTGATTGTTGGGAAACACTGTACGTTATCCACAGACATACATCCGTCAGGCGCCAAGTTAAAGATTCAAATGGCAGTTATTCATTCATCGGAGGAAACGATCTAAGAAAAAACAAAAAGAACTCTGCCTCAACAACAACGACTCCCTCAAAACTAGACAATAAACGTAATCCTGCCGATTGCACCGTGCAACTAACTAGTAGTTGCTTCCGCATTCACTGCTGAAAATAAAACTCTGTAAGAAATAGATATTTATCAGACATCCGCTGTGGCTTCAGTTATACTCTAAAGACGACTTATTTCTTCAAGGTGCGCGTCTATAAGAGATAATTCATATATTGTGTACATCTCTGAAAAAATATTCTAAAAAGTCAAGGGGAAACTTTTTTTTGTACCACGTGTGTGAGCATCTTTACAACAAGATATTAAAAGACTGTTGCTGGCTGTGCCGAAGCTGCTTAATGAACAGGAAGTAGGTATTGAACAATATGTAGATAAAGTTAAAGTCTGTATCCAGGAAGGCTGCAGAAGAAGGCGATACTAGATGTACGATTACACTAAAACTGTTGGTTGTGAGAGATACGGTGAAAAAACGGATATGCTACAAAAGTGTTATCTGGTGTCATCTTAAAAGAGAAAAGTCATGATTCACCCCATAAACAGTAACTACGTGATGCTCCTATAATGAACATATTACACCAAAAAAGCTTATCTGAAGTCCTTAAACATTGCCTTGAGACGTTTTCCTTATTCATGCGTTCAAAAAAAAAAAAGGTTTCCCAACCTGCCGTAATTTTTTTTTTTGCTTTTTTGTATCCCCGATTTTACTACACCCCCCCCGTCTCCCCCAGTGGAACAGTCCACCTTCAGCCGTCGCTTCGAGTGAGGGAGAGCTCATTTCTTGGACTCCGGGTGGGTGGGGCTGGATGGATAGTCGGTGAATCTCTGACAGGCTTTTTTCCAGCGACAGGCCGTGCACCACATCTCCTTCTTCTCCATGCCGTACACCTTTCGGCACTTCTTCGCCTCCCCACGGGGTTTCCTTGGTAACAGCAGATGTGACAGCATAAGGACACGCAGACAGACATCCAGACGCCCACAGAGTCACACACGTGTGTGTGTGTGTGTGTGTGTGTGTGTGTGTGCAATGTGCTCCGAGGCATATTAATACATGTAGCTGTAGGGTCAGGTTCTTCCTTTCAACCAGTCAATATACAGACTGCTCTTTGTTGTGTGATCTGATCTCTGATGTGCTTCCTGCTTTTTATCAAGCAGCTCAAACTACCGACAAAACAACTTCATCATTTCAACCAATCTGTGGAGTTCAAAGGAATGACAAACATGGCCGCTACAGCCCCCCGGAACCCCAAACCATGGCCGCTACAGCCCCCCGGAACCCCAAACCATGGCCTCTACATCTCCGGGACCCTAAACCATGACCTCTACATCCTCGGAACTCTAAAACGCAAACATGACTGGAGCTGCCTTAAAGACAGCTCCGCTGTCACAAGGAAAGATACAGGAGAACATTCCTTCCCTCTGCAATAACACTTTACAATAAATCACCTCTGGCCAAATCATCCTCCACATAATTACACACTGCTACACTGTTGTTTGCTGGGGTTGACTTTTGCACTACTGTTTTTCACCTAGTTAGTTAATTTAACACTATTCTATTTCATTGTATATACTGTGAATTTTTGTTTTATCTTATATATTCTGATATTTAATTTGTCCTACTCTGTTATTCTATTGTGCATTTTTTAATACTTAATATTTTTGGTTACTCTGCTACTTTGCTTCTTGGTGTGTCTTGCTGCTGTAACATACAAATTTCCCCCTGGGGATGAATAAAGTACCTATCCATGACTGCTACATACCTGGTTCCTGGTGTAGTTTTAGTAGGCGGAGTCAGTAAAGCGTTGGCGGCGTCGGCCGGCTGTCGCTTTTCTCCGAGGCCCCGGGTGTTCACAGCCCCCTGAAAGAGTGGAAGGGCATCATGAGAGGATCGCTCAATATGACGGAAATATTATATACTTCATTGACAAAGACGTACAGAGAGACCCAATTAACCACTCCGTGATAAACATGGGCTAAACCTGTGTGTCAACAAGCAAACGAGTCATTTCTGACCCGTTTTCAGTTTATTTCTGGAGAATACATAACGCAGCACTATCAGCAGTTTGTGTTTGTCCACAATACACGGAGGAAAATTAAATCACTCAATTCGTTCCTTTAATTTACCAATTTGGTGTTCGCTTCCAAATAATCCAGCCATGCAATTATTCCCATTCAATAAATTGGCACACTTTAGGATCCTCCTCGCCCCGCGAATAAGCACCGATGTTAATGTCGAGGAGACAAATCCAACTTAAAGGTTAACGAACAAATTCTTGGAACGGCGTTTTGGTGAGTTTCTGTGTCGTTTCTTTTACGACGATTGAACACTTCCAGTTGAAACTACTTGAGCACGGCGCCAAACAGACACACGAGTGGACTCCACGTAAAATACTATTAAATCTAAATGTATATGCAGAATAGAGTCCTAAAAGCAGGGAGTGAGTCAGAATCTTTGCACTTTCGGTTCCCTCGTCTAGAAGGCAATGTTATTCTTGGTATAATACCCTGAATATATAAATCGCTGAAGCAATAAAATGATATAAAATATGTCATTAGATACCAGTCATGAATTTGAGCTTTTACGAGTCTTGAAAAAGGTGGACTAAAAATCATAAAAGTGGTGTTCGTGACGATTATCTTTCTGAAACAAACAAACTTTGATGATTATTTTCTGACATAATCCAAAATAACTTTACAACAATAAGTCATCCCTGCAACTCACTTAACGAGTCTAAAGAGTGCAGCTGCTCACACTGATCAGTTCAATCTGCTCCAGCCTGATGTAAACCTGTATGGGCTGCCTTAAAGACCCGCCACAGTTAAAAATCAATTCATATAAAACTCACCCGTGCGTGTTTTATCTTTGACGAGGAGCGCTCACATTCGGTCGTTTCCTTTGTGTCCCAGCAGTGGTTTCCCGTCAGTTTTATTATCGATTTTAAGACCCTTTTATTGGTCCGTAAATCTTTAAAGAGTTCCGTGTCTGAGGGACGCCTGATGTGCTTTTAAGATACAATATGTGGCCCCTGGATCCCTCCGGTCCTTTGACTGTCTGCTGGCTGTCCCACGAGCCCCGACTGATTCACGGCGGTGCTACTGAAGCCGCTGTGGCCCCCGGCCTTTAAAACCGTCTGCTAGAGAGCAGAACATCTAAATGATGTTAGAGAGCATTCTAAAGTTTTTACCTGCATCGTTCTTTTAATCCTAAAGTCTCACTTTTTTTTATTCATACCTAAATCACATTAATCTTACATGAAGAGCAACGATATGATATAATGTAATGTTACGGCTGCTTTTACATTTGGGTTTTTGTGTCACTAGAAATGGCAGCGTCCCAGTAAAAGTAATTGTACAACCCGAGTGACAAACATCTTGAATCGGACGCATAAAAGTGCTTATTTATTGACCGTTGAGCTTCCGAAGCGCCAGAGGGCGGACAAACTAAATATACTGCGAAGAATCAAGACAAGTGTAACTCATGTCTCATTTTCATGGACTACTTTATCGCCTTTAAGCAAACCATGTAAGGAAAGTATGACACGCATCACAATGAAACTAAATTTGTTTTGTCTCCAAAATATTGAGTCAGAAGTAGATTTTTACGACCTCCCGTGTCCAAAACATTTAAAAACAAACTGGCCGTCTTTGTAAAATCCTCAAACACGTTTATCGATGAAACCATTTGTGACGGTCACGTCTGAAAGTTGACCAAGAGTCACAACAACTTGGAGTCTTTTCTGGCGCACGCCGACGAGCAGAACCCACGATGTGCCGTTTAAAGACAGACTGATGTCTCGGTATTTAACAGATGTGTTAAAAAGCAGGAAGAGTGAAAAACAAAACAAAAAAGTGACAAAAAGCTTTTGAGTGGAAACAGGAGAGATGTTAAGATTAAAAAATTAAAAGGCGTGAGATTAACCTCACTCACCGGGACGCCTTTGGAAATGACACGAGGGGGTGTCCACGACGCACTGAGGTCGTTCCCAGTCCCAGTCCCAGGCCCGGTCCCAGTACCTAACCCAGCCAGCTCAGGACCCACTGGGATACTCACTGGAGCAGTGGCCTGGAACATGGACGACAACCACCCCGCCATAGAGAGGGGGGGGCGGAGGGACGGGGACAGTGCAGATAGAAACAGAGAGGAGCAGAATACAGGAACAAATAAAGATCATGTAATGAGCAGGGAAGGCATTCATTTTCTGAAACGCTGACTTCACATAAACTCTGATCAGGTGTCAAAAACAACATGACGTCTACAAATGAACAACCTGTGGGAGCTTTGAGATCATTAAACAGCATGAAGAAGTTAGCAGCATCGGGTAGAAGAGTGCAGCTCGATGAGAGTAGTTGTGCTTTCACAGCGCTTACATACTTTAGAGTGCATTTTGTGTTGCCAAACAACCGTCAACATATGCGAAAGGACCGAGTCCAATGTTTGGTTAAAATATAAAGCTTTTTAGATGCCAAATGCGTCTCTCCCAGCTGAAACCAGAGCTTTTTTTTTTTTTTACCTCCAAGGGCATGCAAGTGAGGAGAGCACATGAATTTGTGCAGTTACAAGAAGAGGAACGAGGAGGAGGAGGAGGAGGCATGGATACCCAACGCTGCCACAAAGCAGTTTAAAGCAGGAATTTGAGATTAAATGGCTTTAAAACATATTCAGACTTCTTCGTGTGAACTTATAATAATATTTTTGCAAGAAAGTTTCTTTTCTTCCCTTCCTCTCTGACATGAACGCCCACACTGGTGGAGGAGTTAAGTCACTCTGACCTTTCTTTCCCACACTGATCTCAAAATCTGAGTCCATGAGATAGAAAATCTGAAACTTTGCCGCTCTGCGGCAAACACACTGCTTCATGTGTTCCTGGTGTTTTTAGGGGCATCGCAATAGAGAAGTGGTTCGCAATCAATGTTCTTTTCAAAAAAAAAACAAAAAAACATTGATTTAATTCTTTAAAAGGACATTTAATACGCTGAATTGCTATTTTCTGATGATTTATTCTGCGCATTTGTTACTTGTAAGCCTGTTAACGATACAAGTACGGTGGGCTTCAAGGCTGCAATAGCATCATTTCTTTTAGAAATCTAATTTGAGTGTCTGTGTCCAGCGCTCGTGTGAATTACCTGGTAGGCGTGGTCGGTCTGGATGTGGTAGAACACGGAGGGAGCCGACTGGCTGAGCATCGTGGGGGCGGGGCTCTGCGGGCCGCTCACGTCGATGTGCTCGGAGTGAGAGACGGAGGCGAGCGGCGAGGGGAAGGCAGGCGGAGGGGCGCTCGTGGTGGGGGAGGTGGGGGTGAGGCTGGACAGGCCCTCCGTCAGGCTGTCCATGTTGACCTCGATCTCTGTGTAGTAGAAGTCCTCCTCCCCGTCGCTGTAGTCAGAGTCGCTGCCCCGCCTGAGGAGAGGAGCAACAACTATAAACTCCTCAGGACGTCATGAGTTAAAGTTCTCTTTGATCCATTTTTATTCGTTAGGTAGTTCGAAAGCCTGTTTTTCCATTTCATGCCCGATTCATAACATTGAAAATATAATTTATGAAATACTCAATGGAAATGATCTCTACGAGGCTTCAGGAAACTAAATTTGAAGAAATTTGGGAGAAGTTGAGAATGTAAATTTACCCAAAATGCCCTTCTTTCATTTGAAATGCAGCAGCCATTTTTAATCACTTGCTCAGATCCACGATGTCAATCAGAAAGTCCTCAGAATTATTCTAAAGACTGCTGAGTGTGCATTTACTCTCATTCTGTTCAAAGAACAATTCTGTGTACTAAAAATAATACAACTGTACACTGGATGGTTTTAAATGTTCAGTATAGTTTTGAAACTAAATTTAAATCTCATTTTAGTTAAAACTGGATTTTTCCCCAATATGATTGTTTTAACGGTAAACATGCAAGCCGTAATCAAAACATTAAAGCTACATTTTAAACACTAACTTGGGGTAATTGACTGTTATTTTAACAGAGTTCAGGAAGAAGTTCCTCGTCCCAGCAGCAGAGGGCAGTAAAGGCCAGTTTGATGAAGGGACAATAACTGAGGAGGTTTAACTGCTGCATGGAGTAACAGGAGTCTCTCTCCCTCTTCCCGCTTGCTTTTACTATTAAATTAACATAAAATCATCATTATGATTTCAAATATTTGTGCAAAGTTATGCCATGTAGTTATATTCAGTGATCTTTTAAGCATTGTGATGCAAAAGTATCTATTTATTGGGCAAAATACCTCTGAAAGGCACAAGATGCACATCTAAAGAATCTGTAATACACAGTCAGCTGGACGGACGTGAAGGCAGCTTTTAGGACACCGTGGTGGCTAAACGGTGGAATTACAACTTCCTGTTCCGTCACGTGATTGCGCCCAAAAAGACTATTTCCAGCAGACTTGCATTGGCAAAGAAGCTTCTGGGACACAGCGGATCATGTTGGATTCGGAAAGTCTCCGGGTCATTTTATACTGTGAAGTCCTCCTGCACCACTAGAGACACTTTCATGGGAATGAACGCTGCGTCTTAGTTCTCTTTAACCATCCACGAGTTGAACAGCATCCAATCTGTGACCAGTATAATGTGGGTCACTGTTCTTGTTTTACTAGATCAGTTTAACACGACCACCCTGAAGCTGTGGACAAAGATTCACTGGAGTGACCCCTAACGCAGTGAAGGTCTTTAAAGATAAAAACAAAGCCCGTGTTGTTAAAAAATAATAATTTCACATAATCAAAAAAGTAAACAAAAATAATTTGCTTTCTACCCTCAAAAAAGTCTGTTATTTTAGATAAAATAATCCTTCGGTGTTTCACTATTGCAAAGTTTAAATGTTTGATATTTTGTAATAATCTTCATCAGGTTAACATTACATTTCTCAATTACAATTTTAAACTATAAGTACCTGACGGTACATCTATCATTGACAAAGCGCTAGATAGATAGAGTTATTTTTAAATGAGAATGTATTCAAAAACACAGAAATGACATCATGTTATATTGGTCACATGGTTTTGGTACAAACTACCTTTTTAGTTGTGGGGGGATTTTAAGTTGGTAACAGTTGACAACTTTTGCAGACATGAACAGATATTTATATTTAAATGTGAAACTCAATTAAAAATAAGTTTTGTAACAATTGTAAAAAGTGCATTTACTTAAATAAATAGAATCCCAACTACAATGTTTTATAAATAATTATTTCCACTCAATTGAAAAATAGACTTCGCAAAAACTGTCAATTTAGGAACACCACGACAACTTCAAGCTAAATGAAACGGTGTACAAAATGTTTGTCTGATCTTATAATATGCTTTCCCTTATTAATGATATTTAAGAAGAATATAGTCAGAATATAGTTATCAACGGTCATTAAATGTACCCCCACTTAGAGAACGACTCAAACCTTTAAATAATGTCAGAGTCACAATGAAGATCATCAGTGTGACTCGAACAGATCACACTGCCTGGTGCATGCGTGTGTGTTCCGCTATGACTGTTGTGACGTCATCCATTGGTTTGTGGACCGACGTTTTAAAGCCTCAAGTTCAAAATATTCTAATATTTACATTTGACATGAACACATTAGGAGATGTGAAGAAACAAAGATAGTGGGTCAATAATTTGAGTTCTGCATGTGTTGGTTTTCCTGTGAAGACTCACCCCAGGTGGGCGCTGCGGATGTGTCTCTGGATCCCTAAGGAGGTGCTGAGGACCTTTTCACAGTTCTTCCACAAGCACTTGAACATCACCTTCATGGAGTTCTGAAAGACACGTCAACCACAATAAAAACAGCACGAGTCAAACAAGATGCTTTATTCATTTAATCCTTCAACACTGGGAAAACATCAGCTGCCAGTGGTGGTAGAACCGGAGATGAAACCAAACGCATGATCTGCAGAACACAGTCCTGAATGGTAAACGGGGGGGGGGGGGGGGGGTGGGGGGGGGGGGGGGGGTTATGCAGAGAGTACTGCCACGTTCCTGTGTGTGGATCTCATCGGCAGCCTCAACACAAAGGCCTTTATGGGGGACCGAGTGCCACACTACAAGGGACCAGACACTACACCTCATTAGAGAGCTATTAGAGCAGCAAGCCTATAAACATAGAAACCCAATATGTGACAAGTTCAGACACAGTCAGAGTAAAAGAGAAAGACAGAGGGGACAATGAAACTGTATCCTTCTCTGTCTACCTCGTGTACGTTCATGTTCACTGATCGATGAGCAGACTCATTTACTATTATGACTCTTCCTGCCGTCTGTGCACGTTGTGAGCCGAGGTGAACAAAATCCATCTTACTGGGAACAGTTTGGCGTTCGGGTGCAGCACAACAGAGAGAGTCTAACGGACATTGGTCAGTTTTTTCGTGGACATTTGACCAATACACAAATGGAGGCTGAGAAGTGAAGCCAATGAGGAAGCCTAAAACGTGCATTCTCTCTAGTGTCCACCAGGGGGCGGCGACTCTGGTTGTATAGAAGTCTATGAGAAAATGACTCTACTTCTCTCTTGATTTATTACCTCAGTAAACATTGTAAACATGAGTTTATGGTCTCAATCTCTAGTTTCAAGTCTTCTTCAATACAGCATGATGTTCATTTAGTACATTATGGTCCATTTAGAGTCAAACAGACCATAAAGCAGGGGATGCTTTAGGGCAGGGCTACCTTCTGACAGGTTGTTACCAGCGTTGTATACAGTTGATGAGCTCAGGTGTTTCCACTCTGCCCCACCCACCTCCAATACCTGCAGGGAAAGCAGCCACAACAGAAACAGGCAGACGGGGCTGAGAAGGTTGTCCCCTTCCAACTCCCCTGCAGAATAAAGTCAATGCCTAATCCCACACACATAATAAGGTTGGCAGTCCTTCCACCCAATCCTCAAACACAGACAGTGGACCCCGGTCAGTGTGGCCAAACACCAGAACATTTGGGCTAAACCATGTGCAGCTAAAATCAACCATCGTGGCTCATCTTCCCAGTCCTCAGTACTATATGAGCGCAAAAGAAACTCGAGCTCCAAAGCACCTCGACTCTGTAATAATGAAAGTGACAAGACTGGTTATGTCTCATACCTAGCAGTTTCACTTTGGGTCATCAGCTGAGAAGAACAACTTAATTCCTGGTCACTTCGTATGACTCTAGGGATGCCAAATAGCTAGTAATTGCATCAATGTCTCAGTTATTGTGCGCAAAGGTTACGCTGCCGAGTACCTGGTGCTTTGACAGGTAACCACCAGCAAACACTGGCTACCAGACTTAGCACGGTGCAGCAGCCCCACGCCATCAGTGATTAGAGACTTAAACTGCTGACTGACAGCTGGAATCGGCTGCTATGGAGCTGCTTTAATGAGCCGATACAGATTACCAGTCAGCTGACACGTGCTACTGGACTCCACAGCTCCTCTAAGGATGGCGCTCTCTGTTCACTCTGCAGATCACAAACATCACACTGCAACAGCAAAGTTTGCTCAGAGCCTGACCAATTTATTGGCTGTGCAATCCGCTCAAACAGTGAGAGAAAAAACAAAACACCATCCGGATCCGTCTCATTAAACTTCGTCAACTTACCATAACTTTGCATTCTGCAACACCATCTTTTCCTGCTCAGCCTCATGCCGCAACCGCTCATTTGCCACTTGTTCGTCCGCGCTTTTCCATCTCAATCTTTCCCAGAAAGAAAAACTAACAAAAGCAATTATTCTTGCTGCTCAAAGGCAAGGTTCCCTGATTGAACTTATAGTTCCTGTGCTGCTATTCACTGACCCCGGGCCCTCTTGTTTAGCAACCAGCACCCCTTTCTCAACCAACTGCAGTTCCACCATCGCCTTTACATTTTCCTCAAGCTGTGACAAAAGAGGGAGATGCACACAACCAAGCATATTAACAAATTATTTATTAACTTAAAGGCACCATGAGAGGCAAGCTTAACCTAACATCGGCATTTGGAGTCAGTGATTTCAGCAGTGTAGGTGAGTGCACGAGTGGAAAGTGTGAATGCATTGTTGGATAATGTCGAAACAAACCATCTTGTCCACCAGAAACCAAAATGGGTGTCGCAGGGAGGAGAGCAGAGCTAACTGAGCTCAAAGAGTGTTTTTAAAAGAGAAGCACTGGGACACACAGGGCCCATCATGTGTTGCCAATGTTGCTGATGAGCTCAGGTGTTTCCACTCTGCTGATGACCCTCCGCCACGCCCACCTGCAATACCTGCAGGAGAAAGCAGCCACGCAAACACTGACCTCTTTCTGAACCTCGGATCCTCAAGAGCAGAGTTTTGTCAATGTTTGGCACTGATGACCTGATTCCTACAATAAACCCGGGATAACTCTGCTCGGTTCATGAGGGAGGGAAGGAAGGAGGGAGGGAAGGAAGGAAGGAGGGAGGAAGGAAGGAAGGAAGGAAGGAATGAATGAATGAATGAAGGTTCTTTATTTTAATTCATTTTCTCTTTCTGCTCGCAGCTGTCCGATGAGCAGGCACGGACCTGCAGGTAGGTGTGTGTGTGTGTGTGTGTGTGTGTGTGTGTGTGTGTGTGTGTGCTGTCACTACCTTTCAACAGCCTCTGGAGAACGAAGGCAAAGAAAACACCGAGCGAGGGAAGTGAGAGCCGAGAACAGGTTTATTCCTCAATGGTTGTGTTGACTCTCTCCTACACTACTATTCCTTTGAACTCACAGACGTGTCGCTCACTCTTCATTTTATACAACATGAACCATTAAAGGTCTTGAGTGCTGCTGGCTTAATGCACGCCCCCCCCCCCCGCCACGCTACGCTGTTTAAAACTACGCTCCTGGTACAAATGAACCAGCAAAGCTAGCCTTTAATCCCACAAACAATCACAAATCACTTAATTCCCTAAGCGTTTTTCTTGCATCTTAACACTGTTACAGTAAGACTGGTGATTGCCATGTTTACTAATCCTCTTAAGCAAACAGCCTACGATCCGACGGGCAGCTGCTCACGGAGGGTTTACACCTCTGTGGGGTGGGCGGCCGGCTGCATTGCGTCACGGAGCTCCCCGGTTAGCTCACGTTTTAGCCTTCGTCCACACAATCTGGACTTTAAAGCACGTTCCCGCAAAGGTTTGGGGCTGTCCCACTTCCTCTCTCTCTCTCACACATTTTAAGCTCGTCATTGACACTTTCCGTGAGTCCCCGTTTCTGCAGACTTTGCATTGAATTACCCACAATTCATAGCGTTGTGACGTTAAACACGGGTTTACCAGGAGAAGCCGGAGGAGTTAAAAAAAAAAAAAAGGGGGAAACAAATGTTCAGCCTGGTTTATTCAATTTACACAGAACCATTCATGATTTAAGATGAAATTAGAGACTACATTACACAGTTGGTCCATTTGTTTTGACCGTTCCCTGACCTTCAAATCAGGGAGTAAAAACATGTCAAATAAACACCCACAATTGCACATAACATGTCATGACTTTGTCAAGTTAACGTGATATGTCGCAGCAAAATTGGTATTTATACCATTCCGAGCCCCTTGCAGTCTCTCACAGTCAACCAGCCATCAGTTGAATCCCTGAGGGTTCAGGGTTTAAGGCCTTAGGGGGGACGTTTGGGATTGGGCCCAATATGTGTGTGTGTATTCCTCCCTGCGTCTTTCCTCCTTCATTTCCTGTATGCTTATCTACGGTATGTCCGAGGGTCTCTGGAGCATCGTCCTCGGGAGTCTTTGTGTTTTTTATACATTCGGCTGCTCAATAATCTTCACCGCTGCACAACTCCAGGGGAGCTGGAAATCACAAACTCCCACATATTGTACAGTGTGTGAGCTCTCCTCTGTCACTGTACGGCCATACAGGAGACACGGAGATTGATTTCTCCTCTTGTTGCTACCATGACGACTGCTCTAAACCCTCCGAGTCCTCGTTTTTATGCATCCCTTGAACCTTTTGTTACGTCCTGCTGTTCATGCCTCCCTCCTGACTCAATATCTCCCCTCCCTGAAAAGACTGAAATACGGGAGGGAAAGCTTCTTGAGATTGAAAACACTTTGATGTTCTGGTCTGTTTCCAAAAGTAAAAAAACAAAGTGAGAGGGAGAGGAGTGAAAGGGAGAACGTAATCCATCATCCACACAAGCAGAGAGCGCCGGGCCTCGTGTCCGAGGATGTTAGACTGCACGGTGCTTACGTTTTCCAAGGTATCTCCCTGCTACTGCTTTATAGAAATAACAAAAAAAGCACACCAGAGTTGTTTCTGTACAACTGTGGCGCTGACGTTCTACTCAGCATGCACGCTCGTTTTTTGGGGATTCAAGTTAAAAGTGGAATGGACCGCATCTGGGGCTGCTGCGTTCAGCACACAACCACGGCTGAGTCAAGAGACTGTAACGACTGTGGGGGTCAAATTATTATTTAATGTATTATCTTAATGATATATATATGTACGCTCTGTATACACTTATACAGATATTTAAAAAAATGAAAGTTCTCATGTACGTTTTAAAATGAAATTCTGTCCAAATTACCTTCATTTTACAAAATATCTCGCAAAAACGACTACAAATGCTCAACGGTCCTGTAGGTGGCGATAAAGATGACGTCAACAACACGTCAAACACCAGAGAAGAAGATTCTGAGCATGCTCGGTGAGCTTATTGTCCTTTGGCAATGTAAACAAACTGTTAACTATAGTAAAGCAAAGCGAATCATTTATTTTTTCTTACAATTTTGGTATTTGGTGCGATGGCAAAAATGAAAAGTGACTCGTATGTGGACTGTTGATGAAGTGGAGTCGCCACTTAGCCTCACTTTACAAAATAAGGCGATGAAACCCCAAGAACTAACCAGATAGTGCGCACAGATACTTAAAAATTGACCCTGTAGTAGGCGTTTTCAAAGATATCCATTTTTGTGATCTAAACATCTGTTTGCCTTATTGAGGCCACAACATCTGTATACGTGTAGACTTAGTCTTATTGCAGGTGCTTGTGTTGAATAATATGCAGATGTGTTTTCTGATCTGCTCATCTGCTTCGTCACAAACAAGCACTTCCCAATTACTTCACAATAAAAGCCCTCCTGCTGTTCAGGAGTCATAATTAATCATTCAGCCCAAACTTTTCATCTGCATCATTGCCGTACAGAACGAAGCATACGGACAACATCCATCTTTACCTTTCGCTTCCTTGGTATCGGGTCCTCGAACATGAAGTGCGTGTTCTCCGCCACATCCTCGACGACATCGTCGCCCTGGGACGAGAGCAGGAAGTTCTTGTTGGCGTCGTTGGAGAGAGGCGGGGACGGCGTGGAGGGCACCGATTGGTCGCTGGCGTCCCAGCTCCAGTTGCCGCTGGTCGAGCTGCTGTAGCTGGCCGACAGCACCTCTTTCCAAGCCCTGCTGGCCGGCTCTGGGACTGCAGGTCAAAGAATGCACACCTTCAAAGAATGCACACCTTCAGATACAAAAAGAGGAGGTTTCATATCTGGAGAAATGTGAGCGTGAGTTACGTTCGGCCAAGGAATCTCTAGATGTTGTTGTTCATTGTGTACACATCAAATATATTGCTCTTCTGGACATTTGTGGGAGAGGTCTCCTCTGTTGCTCTCTCAGAGGTTTCTTTCTTATCTTTTTTACTGTACACGTTTTTCCTTTTAGGATGCGAGGGTCCAAGGACGGAGGATGTAGTTGGTTGTACAGATTGTAAAGCCCTCTGAGGCAAATTTGTGATTTTTGATTTTGGGCCATACAAATAAATTGAATTGAATTGAATAGATGAGCCGCGCTGCTCGCGGTCCATGTGTCACATGGGTTAAGATGTCAACGGTTATGTCAGCTTTCGGTTTCTTCAGAAATGTGAATTTCTTTTAAGTGCAAAATTCTCGTTTTTGATGTGGTGACAGGAGAAATATAAAATAATAAAACCACAGTAAATATGTTAAAGAACGTTATGCTGGGACCAAGGCTGCTCGGCAACACAGTTCAGTCACAACTCAAAAGGACAGTATGGCTGTTACTACCAACTCTGAATGAATTATATTACATTTACAGTTTCCTAAAACACATGTAGGTCTAAACCTCATGTTCAGTCTCATATGGAGCCAATAAACACTTCTGTTTAAAAAAAATATATTTTTTCATTCTCAAGATATGTCCCATACATTACCAATAGAGTGAAAATTGGTAGAATCGTGTTTTTAGTGGAGTTTCCCGACCGTAATATAACACCGCTGCCTCAATAATCCCCAAACATAAACTTTATCTCCTCTGAATTAAAAACCATGACAGTGTGCATAACAATCCTGACCCAAATCCTAACTCCGTAATGGAAATGTAAAACCTCTCAAAAGCCTTAAACCACGAGAGCCTCTTTAATGCACACATTCTAATATCTTTAATATCTTTTATACAGTCTATACTGTACTTTCCTGACATATTTTCATTTAGCTATACTGAACTCTGCCTATTAAGCCCAACACAGCTTTAATTTCCCGGACAAGGTTCTATATTATTCCTCTAAGTCTTGACCCACAAACCTTTTCTTTACCCTTTGGCCTTTTGACCGATCCAATGATGCTCCAGCTCAAAGACTGGATAATCTGACTGTCACTGTGGCAAAACATGGTCAAAAAAAAGACCAAACCTAAACCCCAACATGGAGCAAAGCTTAACATCATGTATGTTGGGAAAAAAGCCTTGAACAACCTGCGATGAGTGAAAGACATAAACCGACATCCTCTCTCTGCAGCACTTTGTGTGGAGAAAGCTTTCTCATCGAGATTAGCTCCTCACGAACCCACAGCGTCCTCTGACAACAGATCAAATGATGCCGACATCTACGATGAAACACTCACACCGCTTTAGATTTATTTCAAATGGGAGGCGATATGAGATATAAACCGCTTTGTGGTGCCTCGCTGAGAGCAATAACAGTCGCCTTGGGTTTACTGCTGACTCAATAAAGTAATACAAGACAGACAGGACTTTGACTGTCTGGTAGGGTTGGTATGGTGATGCTAGAAACAGCGAAAGGAGCTGTGGCGGTCGGGTCACGGATGAACGTTGGCAGCCAGCGCTGGGCTTTGGTGAGCATGCATGTATATGAAAGTATAAGGGAATACTGCTGATAATACTGTGAGACAACATGTGATTAATAACACAGTAAAACCATCATAGTGTGACCGAGCATCTTGGGTTCGTGTATGAGGGCACTTATCAACTAGTAATAAGTGGAGTCGGGAGAACAGACATCTTGTTCAGCCCACAGCTACTCTCTTTATTTTTGTTCCCCCCTTTCGACCAGAGGCGGGAGTTGCCCCTTCTCTACGGCAGCCCTCAAGGGACATATCTTCAACACCAAAACGACAAAACATGAGACAGTCTGTTACAACAGTGTGAAATAAAGTTTTACTGACGATCACCATAGTCAGTAACAATATGTGATGGGGAGATCTGCGTTGATGCTTTCTAGTCAGCGATCCCTGATGACAGTAAAATCAGCTGCTGTAGCGCTGGTACCGTTAGCAGCACCGGAGCTAACAGCTAACGGACGGAGGTTCCACTCAGTTACATTATGATGCGTTCAGGCTCTGTTCGGAAAAAAATATTTATATTTGAGACAGGTGAATTATAACGTCATCATGAATAAATCCAGTTGTTTGAAGGAGATGTTCTCACAGCAACATAAAGTAGATATTAGAGATGAATTATGTTATATTTAACTTCCTAACACTAACTCTAAGCAGATTATAATACATAATTATAACTACTAAGGACAAGATTTATTTTAATCTGTAAAAATACAATCTTATACAATCAAATAGTTTGACTTGTGTGTCTTTATGTAAATAACCCGTATAGATGACTATAACAAGGAAGTAAAAAGGTAACATTTAGAATATTTGATGGTTTACACTGAATTAAGAGCAGATGAAATGATTTTCAGAACGGTGGTGAAAACAAGGAATAGTCTGAAGCCTTTTATACCAGCTGCTACAACAACACAAAACAACAGAAAGCTAAATGTATAATTGGTGATTGGGGCGTCTCTAAAAGTTATAATTGCTGCCTTTTTTTCTTTTGTGCTGATTCCATCCGTGACTCTAAACCACGATACGATCCAAACCGTGAGTGTCATGAGTGTGTGTCATGCAGTTGTGCTGGAAGTAGAATGCAGCCGGCAGGAATGTTACCTGTGGGTGCGGAGGACGGGTGGAGCACCAAAGGGGAAGTGGACAGCGAGGTCAGGACGGTGGCAGCCATCACCTCTTTATCAGCATGACCTGAGGGCTTCCTGCAAAACACACACAAGTATATCAGGTCAACACGGCTCGTCTCCACACTTCAAGCTGGAACTCATTGAAACTCCAGCGATATTTTGCAAAACAGTTTGTTGTTTTGAATGAGTAATGGAACATTATTTGTGGAAAGAAAACGTCTTGTCCCCCAGAGAAAACTACAAATCTCTGAAGTCCCCAAAAACATCAACAGTGAAGTTAGAAGACATTTTGGACGCTGCCCCGAGGCTCCAGACTGCGACATAAAGAGACAAAAAAAGTTTTTAATAGTGTTAATAAATCACGGCTGAGAAACTAACATTGTTCTCACACCTGATGACCCCGTAGACACGCCTTCACTTTACATCTTGTGTATGTTTTTTACTTTCCACCACCGGGAAAAAAAGAAGAGAAAAAATGTGTTGGTGCAAGCAACTCAGGAAGTTGGTGTTGGAGCCCTGCAGCAAACAAATACAACAAAAGAGAATACATGACCATATGTACAGTAAGTCTTGAGTAAATGTGTGTGTGTATACATGAGGATGTAATGGAAAGCCTCGAGAGTGAAAAGGGTTTTATGTTGTTTGTTTTCTGCACAGTAAGCAGGCTTAGAGAGCCTGTTCCTCCCTTCCTGTCCAGTACACCCCCTACTGAGCGGTCCAACCTCAGCCTAAACCTTATTCATACTGCAGCACACACACACACACAGTGCACGTTTGCAAACACATGCACAGTAAGGATGTGCTTTGGCCAATAAATAAAAAAAAGTGACAAAACAACAGTAATTTGTGTCGTCCTGCATTAAAGCAAAACCGGTTCTCTGCTCCTCGCACACTTATTCTCTTCATCTCCGATCCTGCTGTCATTGAAAGCAAAACACAGGGAAACGTATTTAAGGCAGGGCCGAGATCTCACCCGCACGAAAAAAGGATCGAAAATCTCATGAAAAATCGAAAAGAGAGCGAGCCGTCCGAGCCGATACAGCGAGGTGAACTCATGTCCACTATGTGCAGCTTTGTGCAATAAAAACATGCAAATCCAAATGCTGTGAAATGTTAACATACGAACACACACACACACACATGAACACAGATGCAAAAACAAAACACACACACAGAGATCCACATGGTCTGCAGCTTTAAGAGGTCCCTGTCCCGCCCCCAGACTTCTCCACTACACAACCAGAGTAAACTGGTTTGAGGCATTCTCTCAGCCAAGCCCTCAGTCCTGGCAGAGCTCCACTCGGAGTCTCAGAGCGCACGCACACACACGCACGTACTCGACGCACAAAAACTTCACTCCGGAGTCCAAAACACCAGCAAAAGTATGCTGTGATTTTAGAATGCGTGCGTGTACCTGCTCACACACCCACTCGCTGAAGTGACTTCATTTTGCAGACACAAGAAGAAAAACTTTTCAGCTCCCACGCTGGTGAGAATGTGCCGGACAGGAAGCAAACACATCTCAGAGGAATGCAACAGACACGAAGGAATCTGAACACGACGCGGGGATGTCCGCGCACAAAAAGCTGCTGGTTTTACTCCCCGACATCTCAGATTATGAGTGTATCCGAGTGTGTGTGTGTGTGTGTGTGTGTGTGTGCGCGCGCGCTCTGAATACAAGGCGGGCAGTCGACAAAACAACACAATTATAATAAATACCAACATGGAGAGAATCAAAGTAAGCTAAAGAATAATATCCACAGCACAGCTACAACATTACCAGAGGAGAGGCGGGTAAACATGCACCACACACACGCACACACAGCCTGGATGAGAGATAAAGAGATAACGAGATTAGCCGTGTCCTGTTTCAGTCATTAGTCTTGTTTTCAGCGCTGAACGGCCGAGCAGGGACACACTTCTGATTTATGGGCCTCGGTCTCGTCCTTAATAACATTTTGCTGTTTTAAAAAAGTTGTTGCAGACATGGACAACATTAGACAAATTGACTATTTTGCCTGCTGGTGATGTCAAAAAGTGTACTGATAGCAAACCACTGACAGTGATGCAAGTCTGTTTTTGGTCTTTGTGTGTGTGTGTGTGTGTGTGTGCGTGCGTGTGTGTGTGTGTGTTAGTGAAACCCTCCATAATTGTATCTAAAACACAAACAAATACGCAGACAAAATTGAAATGTTTTTCATTAAATCAACTTTCTTTATTGAGTGTAACTCATCTGCCACGTCAACACAAACACAGAGACACCGGCTTGTTAAATACTCTGTTGGACTTCACAGCGCTCTGGAGTTATTGCACATTTTTTGGATCACACGAGTCGGAAAACAATCCCACGCAGCCAAACAATGAAATCTAATTCTACAAATCCTATAACACAAATACCGATCTTTATCTGACACTGTGCACAAATAACCGGCTTTCAACTGGCTTTGAGTGAGAACAGAAATTACATCTTATTTATCTAGATTATCCGGTAAGTGTGTTATTATGATTTTAGTTATAGATGTGCAAATCTTATTTTGAAAAAAACTCATAGCTGACGAATCCTGTCGCCCCCTGAGGGGACCACTAGATACCAGAGATGATCCAAACTGATATCCCTTTTTCCCTCTCTCACACACACACACACACACACACACACACACACCAGACCCCATTAATACCCTTAGTACCCCCCCTCACACACACACCCACTCTGATTTCCTGACATTTTCCTTCCTGTTTCCCAGCAGAAGCATGACAATCCACCGCAGTTTCACTACATCTGGTGCGAGTTGTTGTGTGCGTCTGTGTTCGTGCGTGTTAAGCAATAAAAAAGTGTGTTTTTAACCTGGGGGGGCACAATTGCCGGTTGACTGTTACTCACGCTGACGACGGTGGAGCTGTAATCTTCTGCTGCCATCATTCTGACTTTAATATGAATGTTTACACCACGTTAGGAGCAGATGGCCGCCACATTCTGCCATCATAAAACCAGAATGCGAGGATAACAGAGCCTGCAGACTCTCCCAACGGTACTCTCTCTAGACCCAACTTCTCTGAAACAAACACGGAGCCATTAAAAGTGCACTGACGCATCAGTAAATCTGTCTTCTTACGAGAGGCTTTATTCTGGAGCAAGTCAGACCTCTGTTTAGAGCCCAGAAAGGGAAGAGATCGCTGTCAACAATGTCGGGCTGTGTGTGTGTGTGTGTGTGTTTTGTTTACAGGAGCCTTTCAGTCCAACCACGGTGCGTTTAGAGCGTGCACTCAATTTAATGATGCCATCCTCCACGGATGAACGCGTGCAGGCACACACACGCACACACACACTGAGGTATTTCATGTAAAGTAGTGACACCATTCATACTCCGTCACTGACAGACGTGTGTTTTTATGAGCCAGGTACTTCGCCTTTAACCCCGTTTACTGTACCTGCATGTGTGTGTGCGTGCGTGTGGATGCCTCGGATTGGAGCGTGCAATAACAAAATAATACACTCATTCTCTCTCACGCCCACGCACAAACACACACACACAAACACACACACACACACACACACAAACCGCTCCCTCTTACCTTCCTTCCTCCCTCAACTTCTATTGGTTCTTGGTTGAGCCAAGAACCATCCCATCTGGCAGCGGCTCAGCACATGGGCCGGCTAAAGTCAACAAGCCAGGCCCAGGCACATAGAGAGGGAGGGAGGGAGAGACTACTTTGAGCCAAGACACAAGTTGCAACAACAAGCTCGGAGGGAAGAAAAAAGAGCGGAGGAAGAGGCCAAGCGTGTGTGTATCTGTGTAGTGTGTGTGTGTGAAGCTCTGTAGATGACCATCGTTTCATCCGAGGTGACAGATCAGGTCAGATACAGCGAGTCAGAATCGCACCTGTAGATGGGTTCGGTTGGTTCGGTTCAAGATGCATTGTTGCATTTTAGTTCCTGTTCACACTTTTTACAAACAAACCAAGAGGAGTAAACATGGAGGTCTACAGACTGACAGGTGACTCATCATCATCATCCTCATCAGGACCCACGTGGGGGGGAAATCAGATTCCTTCCAAATCCTTTTTGCAAAGCTCACTAAGAAATAACTTATGAAGAATAGTAGAATGCTAATTGCTCACCTGTTGTGATGGATAAAGGTAGAGACAGGACTGTACACGAAGAGAAGAGACGTGCATACGTGTTGATTTACATGCACGACCATGAATACAGATCAATGAGATCGCTTGCTGAACAGATTTCACGATACACAGATGGATTTATTAGTTAGTTAAGCTTCAGAAAATCATGCTAAAGTCACATTCCTTTGCTTTCACGCCAGAAACGAACCGCACTAACAGCAAACGGACCCGAGTCAGTTTTATGTTTTTATGGTTTGAAAAAGCACCATTAGTTTGTTTTTATACTTTATATTGCCTTTATTGGTTTTAAGTTTTACTGATAAGTTCGATGCAAATTACATTTTTGTGTTTTGCAAACAACAGAGCGAATAAGGACAAAAACAAATCTAGAAATAATTGGCAGAGGATTAAAAACAAAAGTTAAAGGCTTTGAAGTTTCTTGAAAAAGATTCATTGATGTGGCGTATCCAAAAAACACACGAGGAGACTTAAAGGTTCAGACCATAGAAATAAAATATGATTTCTTATTTTCATGCTTCAGACTGCAGGATGACGTTAAAGGTGAACTCATCAATTAGTTAGACGGAAAACGTCCAACAGTGTAGATTTTCACACCGTCATGTCCGAAGGGGGCATTTGGGCTTTGATACTGCAGATGGTGATATGATGCACACACACACACACACACACACATCCAGTATGATGGTGGGCTCTCTGCTGTTGTTGGGGAGACGACTATATTTAACACATCTAACCTCTGCTCTAGTTACCAGTACAAATCCCCAGGATCCCGCCTGGTTTACAGCGCACATTACAAGCCCACTTAAGGTCCGGGCCAACTGCCAGCAAACACACAATAACAATGCAAACAGACACACAGACACACATATTGACGTATTGAACACTTGTTTTTTCGTTATTCTGCCTAACCGTATCTAATGTCTCCCTCCCCACCT